ATTCAAGGTTTTAACCTGTCCACACAGATTGTAGCCACAATGAACAAAAAAGCCAGCAAGTTGTATGGTTCTGATATCCCAGGATCTCCCAGCACAGAGAGCCTACGGAATCCACTGGAACATCGTAATAGTAATGGCAACGGCAGTAGTTAGCTTATTTGTTTCAATATTTTTTTCTGGATTATTGCATTCATGTTCCTACATTGTTTGCTTTGTCTCAAACTGACCTACAAGTTTCTTTTTTTTTTTTTGTCCATCATTGTATTTGTTTATGAATTGAAATTGAGAAGTTACTTTTGATTTGTTCATAACTGTTATTGGCTATAACAAAGTTGATTTTGTCTGTTGATTGTAAACATTTTTTTTTTTTATGGATTGACCAGCCTGTGTGTAGCAAGACAGCAAAGAAAACCTGTACCTCTGAAATAGAACCACAAAAGATTAAAAGAGTTTGATTTCTTATAATAGAGATAAGTTGGTTAGAACGTGCTGCATTTAGAACTTCCATTTCTTTGTTATTCATTTTTTTTTATGTAATAACTGAAAGTGAAAAGGACTTTTTTTTTTGTTTCAGCTATGATTCAGCTATATAAAATTGTCGTGTTAGATTCCTTGCTGCTGACATGACCAGTTTTGTTTTTCAAGTGTAACAGTCACTGTAACATTGTTCTAGCAAGTGACAGTTTTTTTTATCGGCAGTTCACTTATTCCCCACCTTCTACATTTGGCTCCCTCTCCCTCTGGCAATAGCAAATTCAAAGAAAAACTTGACTGTTGATGGGAAGGGCTGGTGTGTTTGCAAAAAAAAAAAACAACTGCTTTTCCTGTGATATATTGACATATTAATTTGAATCAGTTCACCAGTCTGTTGCATTGGACTGTGAGGACATTCGTGTTCAGTCTAGTAGACACAAGCAGTTGGACAAATGTTTCCTTTGTAGTTGGTTATCCATGATATTCAAATGAACACATTTTATAAATATTATGAATTGGTTATGAAGTTTTATATTTAGCAAGATTATCTCTGTATATCTCATGTTATCGACGCCATTACTGATGGTGACTAGTAATTAGTTTTAGCAAGAATATTAAGAAAATCATTGTCAAAACATATTTGACCTGTTTCTGACAATAGTTACATTGATCTTTTTTAAAAAGGTTTTCTGTGTATGTCACATTCTTGGCAATGTGAATGCTTTTAATAAAGCACATTTTTTTTTTTAGTGGTTGTAGAAAAATATTGAAATCCATTTACTCCCGAGTCTCGCCCAGTGTATAACTAGGGAAACATTATGTAGCAGTATTGTAGGTGTGACGGTGACCAGTTTGTTGATATGACAAGACTCAATGTCAGCTGACTTTCCATTCTTCTCTAGTCCCCTTAAGTGGCTCTCTCGTTGCTATACAATTCTTAGAAGCAGATCATAGTTGCAACGCACCACAGAGACCTCTGGATTTCACTCATGGCTGCATACATACTTTGCAATAGTCCACCTATCTGGTGCTGAAGATGGCTATACACTGCAATAGTTCTATAGCTGGTGCTGAAGATGGCTATATACTGCAATAGTTCTCTAGTTGGCGGATAGCTTCATATACACTTTACGATAGTCCCCCTCTAGTTGGCTTTCATTGCTACATGAATGTTGGTTTCAATTGCTTTTTTTTTTTTTTACTCAAGTTTGTTTTTTATCAATTAATCAATTTTTTTTTTCATTGTGAAAGCTTTTCTACAGATCTGATATTTGCTGGAAATGTTCTCAGTTATGCTGGTAAAATTCTTTAAGAATCGAATAGATTGATAGTTAGGATGAAAAGATAACATTGTTTTTTTTTTTAATCATTCTATTGAGCTGGTCTTATTCAAAGGATAGAATATAATTCTGCGAAGAAGTGAATAAAAAAAAAACAACAATATTTTGTGAGACATATTATTAGTTCTCTAAACTTACAAGATGCTGGCTCCATGTAGACATTGGTTCCAACAGGTGCAGAAATGTCATTTTTACAACTAGGCAAAATATACAGAATGCTGTGTACCTTTGACCTTTTCATTGTTGTCTTTATTTAAACTTACACTTCTTGGTGGTTACTGTTCTCTACGGACTGATATTCCAGTCTGTGGATAAGACCTTTTGGTCTGTAGATTATCATGACATAATTGAGTCACCATGATATTTATTTCAAAGTTACTATTTGGGGATTGGTACGAGCAGCAGTGCTGCCAAAAATGTTTTTCCCTATTCCCCAATAATAAAAAAAAAATATTTTGTTAATTATGTCCTTTTTTTTGCTTTTAAAAAAAAAAAAATAAGTCGGTTATGTCGGCCCTCGCTGTATTTTCAGGACACTCAAAATGTTGGAAGTTACTTCACTGCTTCTGTCCTTGCCTCCCCAAGTAGAGCCCCACAGACTATTTGATTTGTAATGTTGTTCTGTTAGTTGTATGTAAACCCAATGCAAGAGAATTGTGAGAATCCCTTGGTCCCAGATCATTGCCCAGCTAAAGAAGAAGAGACTGAAAGAAAATGAACATTTTTCTGAACACCTGAACTAACTTTGGTGAATAGAAGGTGAACAAACATTTTATTTGTTTGTTTCTTGAGTTCTGTTGACTTTTTACTTTGCAGTGTCCCTTTAATTTTGTTCTTGTTTTTAAATTTAGTGCAAGAAAAAAAAAGCAGGGTTGGGGAGGGGGAGGGGAATGAGATCAGCATCAAAGTAATTAGGCTGTGATTTCATTTGTTGTCGTCTAATTTGACTCATTTATTTTTTTTTTTTTAAGTTTTGTTTTATTATATTGTTGATTTATGTTTTCACATTTTGCTGAGTCATTGTTGATCAGTTTTGAGTTCATGTATAAGAAACTATGTCCTAAAAGACTTGTTTTTTTAGTTATTTGTTCTTTTTAACTCATTATGTTCCCTCGTATTGAATGTTCTAGGTCAGCCATCTTATCAGGACAGCTGTTTCATAGAACTTATTATTTAATACCATGCTATGCTTTTGGCATATAGTTTTGAGTTCCCGTCTGCTATTGCTTGTCTATTTAAACAAACAAACAAAAATCTCTGGTCTTGATAGTTCTGAGACTGTATGTTCTATACATGAACACATTTGCCATTATCTCATTGATATTATGTTTAACCATGTTTACTTTATAACTTTTTGTTTTTTGTATTCTTCACTTTTGATTAACAAATTTCTATAGCCTCAGTTGACCTGGAGTCCAGCTAAGGGGCATGACAGAATGGATCATTGTTTCTTTTAATTCTAATCCCCCCACAGACCCTTGTCATGATAAGACATTTTTGTAGTTGTATGCTTGTTTTACTTTAGAAACATTATTTATATTTTTTATGTCCCAGTGCAATATTCTAACTCTATGATTGGGGGAGAGTGAGTGGATGGGTGCTTCCGTTAATGGGTCAAAAATGGTCAGATCAGCACAAAAATTACAGACAACAATAGGGGGGAAACTCTTTATTCTAATGATAGGTCTTGGCCTAAAGTTTTTAATTGTATGCAGTAGGATTAGTGTATGAGACCATGGTTTGATTCAAGTTGAACTTATCAGTGATGTTTCAGTACCAACTCATTTTTTTTAATTTTTTTTTTCATTTGAATGTGAAAGCTGTCTGCATTCATTAGAAACATTTCCTCATGTTCCAACTGACCTTAGTCCCATACTGTGCGCTATAAATCGGATAGAATTATAACTTTGAATATGTGGAGAGAATAAATACAATAAAATGTTTATTTCAATTTTTTTCGCTTTCAGCTGACACTTTTGTCTCCTCAGGTTGTCTCTCTTCTCTGCCCTAGACCCCCCACCCCCACCCGCCCTCGATCCCTTCGCTGCAGGCAGTGATATCACTACAGCTGATCTGAGTGATAGACTATGATGTCAGAGGAACTCAACCTAATCTTTCATGTTTTTTGTTTTTTTTTCTTTTACGATGAGGTGCACATGAATGTGTGGCTGTTGTTGTTGTTTGTTGCATGCACAGAGGATCACAATGACATAGTTGCAGATCTCTTTAAGTTAGAAGATATTGTAACAGAGGTGATAGATTCTTTGTACATTTTGTTTGCTTGTATAACCCGGACTAAAAACAGATATCTAAGACCCTAACACATTTAGCTGCATTGGAAAGCGGGCTGAGAATGTCTTGGATTTTGTTTCTTTTTTTTAACAATAATTTGGGCTAACTCTCCATGGGTGTCTCAGGCAGGACATCAACTCTGTTCTGGTAGTAGCAAACTAGCTTTACCAATTTTGTTACTCTACATTTCAGTGTCTTTTAGAACTTGATCATGTGAATTTCGAATGCATGGAAACTCATCTATGTTTGTTACATTTGAAGTGAAGGTGGAGCTGTATATGCTCAGTTTGCATCTCTCTGTCTAAAGGGTTTCGTCTGCATTCAAACTTGGTCATCGCGCGGACAGAATTCATGTGTTCCTCTCCCTTTCGTTCTAAATGGCTTGAAAGTAATTTATTTCTCTTAGTCTAAGTTTCTCTTATATATTTGTATTATCTCAAACATTGTATATAAATATACTCAGATCTATACATACCTATACATACATATATATATATATTAACTTGCACCTTTCAGTGTTGAGGATTTTATGAAACTTTTTTTTTTTTTTCTAATTTCAAATGATACAAATCTTTCCTTGTAAATAATGGCATCTTTTGAAGACAAAAAGTTGTTTTGAGAGCTGACTAGAGAGAACAAGTTTTATAAATGTGTTTTACTTTAGGTTGTCTATGACTGTATCGAGAGAGACACCTCGATGGTTCTTGACATTTTTTTCACCCTTACACTAGTTTCTGTTTCTGTCAGGTATTTCTAGTCCATGGCCCATGGAATAGCATGAAGGAACTGTATGAATCAAGAAATGTCTGTTCCCTGCGCCATGGATAACATCATCCACTATTTGTCCCCTTTTCAATTTCTCTCAACTGTGGATAATATCATCCCCCTAAACCCCCCCCCCCCCACCCCACTTTTGTTTTATATACTGGTACTCTCTGGGCTGTGGGTACCATCCCCCACCCACTTCTTGCCCTTTTTCAATGGTTTTGTTGTTTTTACTTTCTAAGCTTTGACTAATCTCTGTGTGTGTGTGGGCGGCGTCATGTGTGCAGACTGAAGTGTGTGCGGGTGTGTGTGTGTCAGGTGACTCTTTCATTGTTAACAGACATGTGACCTAGATTTTCCCCAGGATGTGACGGGGGCGGGGGCCCTGTCCAATTTTCTCACACATTTCTAGATGTGATATCTTGCAAAATTTAATGTTAATTTTTTTTTTTTTTTTTTTTTAAATAAGATTTGAAAATAAATCTTGTCATACAAAAGTCTGTGTCTTAGACATTTTTTTGTTTTTTTGTTGTTGTTTTTACTTAAGCTTCTAGCAACTCACAATGTCAGGTACAAAGTTTGAACACGTTATTTCTTCCACACTCATGCACAAATTGTAAGACAAATTTCCATACTGACAATAAAGATTATTCTTATTATTATTATGACTGCCATGAACACACAAGCTGTCTGCTGTATGCACGCTGCACTGTCGTTTGGTCTTCTCAATATTCCCGGGTTCAAACCCTGCCCGTTGCCATTTTGCGGGAGGTTTGGACTAGGAAGTAGATTATCTTTAACTCTGAAGAAACATGTCAGACATTATACAAAACAATGTATGGTTTTCTTGAAATGGAATAATGACAGCCTTTCAAACCATTTTTTTTAACAAGATCTAACTGCAAAAAAAACACGTCTTTACTGTTTGAAATCTCTGGATCATCTGCCGTTTCACATTTGCATTACGCTAGATTTTTATTGTGATATCATCATCCTCACTACATAGCCACCAACCAATCGCTCTTCTCACCGTCACCTTGGAAACACACGCGCACACTCCATAGCAGCTCAATGGACCTCATTCACCAATCGTAAACAAACAACACTTAGCACGTGGTGCTCTATCTCTTCTATATAATTTACGATCTCATGTTTAATTCATGATGGTTGTCACGTGACAGTTTTTTCTCTCGTTTTATCAATAAGATCACGTTACTAAATGTTGTTTACGATTGGTGAATGAGGTCCATTGATTTGTCAAAGTGTCTTCACGTCAGTTTCGCAGAAAACAGAAGTTTTTGGATCACATTGGTTAGGTCAGTGGTCGAGAAACTTTTCATACTTCAGAGCCAAAATACAAATGAAACTTTATTCCAAGAGCCATGTTTTGAAAACGAAGTTTTTCATTAGTCGAGACATTTTGTTCAGAAATAATCAGAATAAAAAGTAGTATCTCGCGCATTACATGTTTATATAATAATACTTTGTATCAAACCTCTATAGCATACCGGTAATATTAAAATATACACAAGTTGAACAATATAAAATTCATCCTTGTGAACAGATACAACACCAATGTGTTTCTTTTTTAACAATAATTGGGGCAAACTCTGAATGGGTCTCTCAGACAATGCACAAACTCTGTTCTGGTAGTAGCAAATTAGCGTTACCAATTTTGTTACTTTATATTTATCAGTGTCTTTTTTAGCGGCCCCCGAAAGGGGAAAAGACGCTATTAGTTTTTGTGTCACTCATCACAATATTTTAGACCATTCGGCTACTTTTTTTCTTTTCTGAAAGCGACAACGACTAATCGCCTTTTACTATTGTTCAACTTATGTCAGATACCCGTTAGAATTAAGTGGAATCAGGGACCCCTAAAAATCTAGAGGCTTAACATCCTTGTCTTCAACGAGACTTGAACAGGAGACATTTCGCAATACGCTATGATAATATCACTTATTGATTCTTGTGAAATAATTATGCAAAATTTCAGCTTCATCCGAGAATAGGTGTTGGAGAAATAATGTGTACAAACTTTTGGTCAGACTGACAGAGTGAGCTGATATAAGCTTTGTAAAAATATGGTCCGTTTGTTAAACGTTAAAAGAACAGGAGGGGGTGTGTGTGTTCGAGCCATAATTACCACTATAAAGCGTGGGAAGAAAACGACAGGCGTAGCCGGAATGTAATGGAAGCCTTGTCTATATATATATTCGAGACATTGGTTTTCTTAGAATTAACAAAACAAAATTAAAACAAAATACATTTGATTAACATTGATTAAATCGTTCTAGGTTTCAATAGCATTCATTGAAAAAAAAAAGATTACGCCCTTGGAACCTTTTATAAAAAAAAATATTTTGATCGTCTGCTACATTGGGTGTGGCGAGTTTGTAATTAATTAACATACGTTTGATAAATGTCACATTTCAATGATTCTCTCCCTTCAACTGTGTCAGAAGGGGAAGTAAACTAGATTGCATTCAAATGAATTATTGAGAGAGTTGCAACTCTTTGTTCAAAACCTTTTTTTTTTTTTTCTTAACTTGGTAATCGTCCTATTATTAGCTTGTGGTTCATTATACACGAAAGGAGACACACTTCGTGTCATATTTTAAAATTTATAAATATATGGTATAAAAATTATTATATTTATCATGTCACTGTTTTATAACATGACAGGTCCGCCGCTTTTTTCCCCCTTGAATAACGCACACCCAAACACACACACAGCCGTATTCCCCCTTCCTTCCATGCACACGCAGGTGATATGAATGAATCGATCGATCCTGTAGCCTGGGTCAGATCGCCACAGATTTGTACACACTTACACAACACAGAGGTGTACTCTGGCGTCCTTGGATACGACTGAAAGCCTGGCTAAGTGTTACCTCAAGAACGTCTTCTAACAAAAGTGTGGCTTATGTGACAAGACGAAGCAGAATTGAAACCTTGATAAGGGAACGGAAGTGCTTCTTAAAGACGTCTCTGTACTCAAAAAGTTTATTTAGACTCTGCTTTGGACATTTTTAATTAAACGGGGACAGTAACTCTTCATAATTGTAAAGTGTGTGCCTATATCAAGTTAATGAGGGACAACATACTAGCACCATGCCCGACAACAAATACTGTGATTTTATTTGATATTTGTGCTCACTATTGAAACGCTGGAATGAATTAGAGACAAGTGTTCACACTTTGATTACAAGACAGGTTGGTCCATTGTGTTCATTCCGTTAGTGATGGTTGTTTTAACAGAATTATGCGACAACATTGCTGTGATAATTTGGTTCAGTATCACAAACCTATATATATATATATATATATATATATATATATATATATATATATATATATATATATATATATATATATATATACTGTGTGTGTTTATATTGTACACAAATACTATATTTGATTCTTAAATATTTCAAAATATACAATTTGAAAATAAAATGGTAGGATCGATACGAATTTCATTTTTATTTGTTTACTAAAATTTCCTTTTCGTAACAACTTCTTTTAGGCCAACGTTGAATGTTTTATTTATTAATTTAATTCAACAATTCCATGGCGCCTGGTTCAAAACTTCACTACCATATCCCCTTTAGCCCTGTTGGAGGTTTACGCTAGGAAGTAATCATCTTCAAATATGAAGAAAGCTACAAATATGTAAACAAACAAACACATATATAGAGAGATAAATACAAATGTAGATAAATATCGTCTCATTGCTCCTTCTTCCCTATTGCCATTAGAGAATGGAATGGGTTGCCTGAATCAGCCAGGAAAACCAACGACTTACCAGAGCTCAAGTCATTGATTAACATGCATGACTAGATTGACACATGCAATGTATAGGGCAAAGTTAACGTCTGTAATATATACGAAGAAGATGTCTATATGTAATTCTATATGTTTGTATTTCTTGCTTAGACTATATCGTCCGATACATATCATATAAGCATACATATATGCAACAATATACATGCTTGTATTTGTGCATGCCTGAGGTTTGCATTTGTTGAAAAAATGAGTTTCATATTTTATTATGCGATTCGGAAATAGACTTTTTTAGAACTAATTAAAAGGTGTGATAATCTTTTGGTGCATGTTAATCAGATACTTTAAAATCTACTATTCTAATTCAATAGTTTTTCCGGCTGATTCAGGCAACCCGTCTCACGCTCTAATGGCACTTAGTTAAAAATGTTAGATTACTTGTCTAACCTCATTCCTATTCCTCCCATGTTACCCTGTTGGAGCCGATCAAATTTTTTTTATACTTATAATTAGGCTAAAAACGCGGAATGGGTTTATGATTGTATGTGTTTCTGGGTTAAAAACGAGTTCTGTTACAGTAGAACGTCGTTTATCCGACTCAATTGGGACCGGACACCGTTCGGATACGCGATTGTTCGGATAACCGAAAACCGAAGCGATCCATGCAGTATATGCAACCGGACACTATACGAATATTGAAAATCATCACATGCGGGACACGTGCGTGAAGAACGAGCAAAATAGGTGACAAATGTCGCAATTTTACCTTTATTGTGGAAAATAATCACTTATGTTTCGTATTCATACAGTATATGTGCATTACAGTACATGTGGTTGATAAAAAAAAAAAAAAACTGGTCCGGATATTTGACGCTCCGGATAATAAACGTTCGGATAAACGACGTTCTACTGTACTTTATTCTTATCTTTTAGTCTAGTCATCTGAACGCTCCAACATAACAATGAGAACGAGGAAGAAGAAGACATATCGTTTCTGTCTGCTTGTCGCTTTATATCTCCTAGCTCCTGCCCCCCCCCCCCCCCCCCACACCTCCACCGCTTCGCTCCAAGTCCGAAGGCCCTCCTTATCTTTGAATAAGCTCCTTGTATAAACACCACCTGTACAAGTAATACAAAGAGTGTAAGACTAAGACTGCTTTATTGATTCTTGTTGAGATTACAAGGACCCTTTCCTCAAATAATAACAAATCCTGTCCACTCTCTTTCGACTGTTTATGTGCTCTTATGACTATAGTATTAACAGTTTTTATTAGTCAATGGGGGGGGGGGGGGTGATAATTACAAGCAGGAAGAGCGACATAGAATGTGGGGGGACAACTCATGCGCATGGGCACCCCTCCCCCTACAGCTTTTTAAGGGAAAGAATCGCGCTACCTCTGAAATACCTCTGAATACTATAAGATTTACCTCGCTTTTTCTATTAAGAACAATTATTTAATTACCATAAATTAATTAGTAATTTTTTTTATATAGATTCATGTGTTTTTATCGAAAAAGAATAATTGTGCAAAGTTTCAACTTGATCCTAGAATGGGAAGTGGGAGAAATAACGTAGATATGATTTTGTACCATAGTGAGTTAACTCTTTCTCTCCTTAATTATTTACCACATTCTAGTGGAATCAACGTTGATATC